ACCGAATTTGTTACATGTCCGGTGTCTCGCACGGCAACCGAAGAGAACGTTCCGCATAATGGCCAAGTTTTACTAGTGAAACGTTTTACTGCCGAAAGAGAAGACAATAGTAAGGCAAATTCGGCAATGAAGATGAACCTTACTCACCAGAAACCATAGATAACATTTTTCGCGACTCGCTACCGTTTAATTACTCTCCTGTGAAAAAGAAGTCGAAATTGGACATCCGATTATTTGCACTTGACATTAAACTACAGGATCATGAGGCAACCACCATTAATGCAGAGCAGCGTGAAAGATTGAACGATGTACTGGTCGAAGTCAAGGATGTTTTTAGGAAGAATGGACCTCCTGCTTGTGGTAAGCAATTTCGTATAAAACTCACATATATAGGACACCTGTCCTATATCCTGTCCTCCGTACCGACTTAACCATACGCGTCAAAGTCAATTACGACAGAAAATCGATGAAATGCTCAGTAATGATATTATTAAGGAAAGCGATATTCCGTGGACCGCACCGGTTGTATTAGTTCCGAAGAGGGATGGAGATGTGAGAATCCCGGACCATTACACTTTACCCAGGATAGACGATCTACTGCACGCTGCAAAGAGCATGCCATTTATGTCCAGTCTTGATCTAACGTCAGGCTATTGGCAGATCGAGATCCACCCGGATGATCAAGAAAAAGCGGGCTTTATAACGCCTTTTGGTGTGTATACTTTCCAGAGAATGCCTTTTGGCCTACGGAATGCTCCCGCCGCATTTCAACGGCTAATGGACCGCGTTCGCGTTACCCTCGACCACGTGTCATTATTGACGTATTTGGATGATCTTATTATTATAAGGTCACCTACATTTGAACAGCATGTTTAAGATCTGCGCAATGTTTTCAACACACTAAAGTCTTACAACCTGAGAGTTAACAGAGCTAAGTGTAAATTTGCGTGTCGTGAACTGCTCTATCTCGGTCATGTACTCACGCAAAGTGGCATAACTGTCAACCCTTCAAAGGTACAAACCATCGTGGACCTACCGCCTCCCAAAACCGTCAAGCAGCTCTTGTCGTTCATTCAAGCCTGCTCTTGGTACAGACGATTTATTCCCAATTTTGCGGATATTGCCCGGCCACTTACCAATCTTACAAAAAAGAATATGGTATGGAAATGGGGTGAATCTGAATCAAAAGCCTATAGTGAACTGAAACAACGTCTGACAAACACGCCAGTACTACAGCAGGCCAACGAAAAAGATCCATTTATTGTTAAGACGGACGCAAGCGGATATGCAATCGGTGAAGTTTTAATCCAGGGGAGGGTTCTAACGAACACCCAATCCAATACGCCAGTCGATTGCTGACGGGTGCCGAAAGAAATTACTCTACAACCGAACGGGAGGCTTTGGCAATTGTTTGGGCAATTGGAAAATTCCGTGGATACATTGAAAGTGCAGACTGCATAGTTATCACCGACCACCAACCTCTTAAATGGTTGATGGAATTGAAGACGCCAACAGGCAGACTCGCTAGATGGGCACTACAGTTACAGGCTTATAACTTGCAAATACAATATGCTCCAGGGCGCACGAACAAGGTTGCCGACTTTCTGTCAAGACCGCCATGTACTGAACATACGGAAGATTGTTCCATCTGCCGAATAGAGTTAACTACGGAAAAGGAACTCCGTCAATTACAATTAGATGACGCGCATCTAAAGGTAATTATTCAAGATCTTGAGAGTCAGCAAGACGAGTGTACAGAGAAATGGCATCAGCGAGGATACTTTCTACAACAAGGCGTCCTATTTCGTTACACTGAGGACCAAGATGATGATGATGCAAAACTCGTTGCACCTGAGTCTGAGAAAGCTTCAATTTTAGAAACGGCTCCAACCGCCGGTCACCACGGTGTGGACAAATATGAGGAAGGATGTTGCCAAGTATATCTCCTCCTGTTTAAAGTGCCAGCGTTACAAGATTAGTAACCGAAGACCTCCCGGGTTATTACAATCAACAGTTTCCAACCAGCGGTTTGAAACAATCGCTGTCGTCCTCTTTGGGCCATTACCAATTTCAGTCGACAATCAACGATGGATATTTATTGTTGAAGACATTGCAACCCGATGGGTCGAACTGCCCGAAGCAACTGCAGAGGCATGCGCCTCTATACTTCTTAATGACGTCATACTACGTTACGGAACGCCGAGAAAAATGATTAGCGACAACGGCACCCAATTCATTTCCGCTGTATTCCAAAAGTTGTGCCATTGTTTGGGAGTGAAGCAATCATTTATTCCTTTATACCATAGCCAACCCTGTGGAACGAAAGAACCGTGATTTAAAAACTCAGTTAAGTATGCTAGTCGGAAATAAACACGACTCATGGTCAAAATATTTGCCCACCATCCGTTTCGCGATAAATTCGGCAAGATGCGAAAGTACTGGCTATAGCGCCTCATACCTCAATTTTGGAAGAGAGCTGCGCGCTCCTGCTGACGTACTTTATGACTTTAGCACCATTATTAATTCAGAAAACTTCGTTCCTGAGATAACCCCACACCTTAAGCAGCTTGCAAATGCGCTAAAGGTTGCAAAAGACTTGACCGAGCAGCGTCAGGACCGAAACCAGGCGTATGTTAATCAACATCGCAAACCCAGCCAAGACTATGTAACTGGAGACCAAGTACTTCTAAAAACACATGTACTCAGCAAAACATCGCAGGGAATTACTTCAAAATTTGCTCCTAGACGTGACGGTCCCTACACCATTGTCCGAAAGCATGGGCCTACCAGCTACGAGAAACTCCAGATACTCCACTCGGTGTGTACCATACAAATGACTTAACCCGCTTTACTGTTTCAGCCGAACAAAAGGTACAACCTGTACGTCCTATCCGTAGAAGAGGACGACCACGTAAAGTTCACCCTGATCAGAAGTAATCAAGACCACCGTTTTGTCCTGGTGACTCATCGAGACGATATTCGCCACCAGAGGGGGAGATTGTAGCGCAAAACATTTCTCCCACTGTCTAGCCCCCACTCATACCAGTTGACGACTCTATACCAAGGCGCTCGATCCAGCCCGGCTGCCGGCTATAAAAGAAGCTGCGCGAGCCTCCGCACATTCATTCTGCCTTTCAGCCTCGCTAGGTTAAACAACCAGGCTCTCTAGAAGCGCTCCTCGTTCTGAGTTATTTATTTATTATAAAATACATTTGTTGAATAAAGTTTTTTAAGTTTATTCGGCGTTTGTTATAAATATGTTTTAGGTTTTGTAAAATAAGTAATTTTAAAAATGTTTATTTGTATTAAAATTTTAAATTTTCATTTTGTTTGTATAATTTTATTTTCGAATTTATTTTGGTCAATTTCCCAACTCTATAAGGTAATTAAACATTAAATGTATCTGCCCAAATTTAAAAAAATCTAAAAGAGTAAAAAAAATTGAGGTTAAAGTTTTAACATTGTCACATTTTTTATTTTCTTTATATTTTTTTTATTTAAATACTTAAGTTAAGTTATCTACAATCATAAAACTTGATATACAGGGTGTCCCATAATTAGTGTGCAATACTTTAACAGAAGATTCTACGTACAAAAATAAGAAAAAAAGTCCCCATATAAACATAGGTCGAGAAATGCTTTCTAAGGGAGCTGCAGCCCCCGAAAAAGGAGGACCTGAAGATGCTTTTTATTTAATATCTTCAAAACCGTTATGGGTATTGATTGAACTTTTTATGGCCAATAAGATGTAATATTAATAATTTCAAAATTTCCATGAGGGGTGGTCAGATAGATAGGGAGTAGGGGTTAAAACCACCCCAATTTTTTTGTACGTGTCTTTGGATTTGATATCAGATTATAAAATTTTGGTGTTTTATAAATAAAAAAGGTCATCTTGTTTAACTTTGATAACACGTTTTAACTCCTACTCCCTATTTATCTGACCACGCCTCATGGAAATTTTTAAATTGTTATTATTACATCTTATTGGCCATAAAAAGTTCAATCAATTCCCAAGATTTCACTCTTCTATCTTGAACGGTTTTGAAGATATTAAATAAGAACCATCTTCAGTGGCTCCTCTTTCGGGGGCTGTATTTCCCTTAGGAAGGGAAGTTTCAAACACAATTTTCAAATACCCTGTCACTTATTACATAAAACTGTCACCTGTCTTGAATAACTTTTTCTAAACATGGCAGGCCGTGTTCCATGGCATGCTCTTTCGGGGTTGTAGCTCCCTTAGAAAGCATTTCTCGAACTTTGTTTATAGGGACTTTTTTATTTTTGTACGTAGAATCTTCTGTTACAGTATTGCACGCTAATTATGGGACACCCTGTATATGATATACGAAGGGTAACTAGGGACTTTTTGATAAATTAAACATTTTTTGACTTACGAGCGTGCAATACTGTAACAGAAGATTCTACGTACAGAAATAAAAAAAAGTCCCTATAAGTTATGACCGAGCTTATGCCCAAAATTCTAGCTAATCTAAATTTTTCTTATACATTTTATGAGAACACTTAACGTTAGTTAGAATTTTGGGCTTCAAGTATGTATTCCAACATTTAGATTCAAACCCTTATACAATAAAATTTTAATTTTTTGCAGATAGAACCCTATTGTTCCAGGAAAATTACAAATTTGTTATGGCAGAAATAACATTTTTATAAGGGCATGCCATATGCTATGTTCCTATTATAAATAAAATTTTGTTTTCAAAAACTGATCGTATAACTACTTCTCATTTCAATAATTTTGTAATTATATTGCCATCTTATAGGTAAGGTAGATTAAACAAGATGGCAATTTAATTACAAAATTATTGAAATGAGCAGTATTATTATTGAGAACATAGCTTATGGCATGCCCTTAAAAAATGTTATTTCTGTCAACAAATGTTCAATGTACTTATACATTCTAATTAAATACCGAAATATCGTTTCACAGTTTTGAGCCAATGTACTGATTTCCTATTCTTGCTCTTGCTAGTAACGTTATGGACGAGGGAGATCTTGTAGACCCCTATGAAAACCTTTCTGATGACGATCCTGAGTATTTTCCTGGGCGAGAAGAAGACGATTTAGCGTCAGCGCCAAAGAAAAGAAAACTAACACAATATTTTCAAATGCTTACAAAACCCAAGGATAAGGGAAACGGTTCAGCTGCAGCGGCGGTAGCACCTTCCTCCGACCCAGGTTCATCTGCAACCTCTGTGGTTTACTTGCAAAAGGACCATCAAGCAAAATTTAATAACAGCCCCATGCTAGATGGAAAATTTTATAAAGTGATAAAATTTGATGGAAAGGACCATGTAGAAGCGTCTTGTCAATTATGTCTTCCTAATCACAAAGTAATTAAACTTGAAATTAATTACGTAAAAAAACCAAATTGATTTTTTTGATGATAGGTTATTAAAGGATCTGCAGAGACGACCACCAATTTTGTAAAACACCTGAGGCGAATGCACTTGACAGGATTCTCTTCTTATATCAAATATAAATCAGAAAAGCAGATGAACAGACAGACTGTGGAAATCACGTCACCAACACTATCCTCCAGTAAGCTACGATAAACAACATTAACATCGGCAACACACAATAAATTGGTCGGTCAAGCAGAATTTAACAAAAGGATTGTCTACTTCATAATTAATACGATCTCTGCTATATCTCATTGATCATCCTAGTTTTAAAGCCATGTTTAATGGATTTAATGTAAAAGTTATGGGCCGTAAATCTGCAAAACACACCAAGACGACTTGAAGGTACAGATAAGCAAACAAAAATTCTTGTGCTCGACAGCCCACATATGGTCATCAAAACGTCGTAGTTTCATGGGGGTGACATTACATTGGTTAGATGACAATTTGCAAAGGGTTTCTGTTGCTCTCGCTTGTCAAAGATTCCGTGGGGTTCATAATTATAAAAACATTGCAAAAATGTTAGACTACATTAATGTAAAGTATGGAATAAAAACCAATCAAATTATTGCAACAGTCACAGATAATGGCAGTAATTTCGTCAAGCCTTTTAAGGAGTTTACGTTGCAAGAATCTTCACCGGCTATATTCATGAGCAAAGTAAGCCATTCACTTAGCGATGATATCGACGCCGATGAAGAATCCGATGCTGATGATGATATCAAAATCATGGAGATTCCAGAATCAGATTGTGATTTTGCAACAGGGATTGAACCTGTAATTATGTTACCAAAACATTTTCGTTGCGCTAGCCATACTCTAAATTTGATCGCGACCACAGATTGTGCGAAAGCTATAGCTTCGAATGTAGGAGTTCGTACCAAGCACATGCATGCTATTGAGAAATGCCGTAAGCTATGGACAAAGGCGAGAAGGTCAGGAACCGCCGAAATTATAATGGAAGTTTTGGGTCACACCTTGAGCTACCCTGGCGAAACACGTTGGAACTCGTACTTTGACTCTATATCGCGGATTCTGCATGAAGACACCAAACCGAAAATGGCCGCACTTCATCAAAAGCTGGGGCTTCCTAATTTCAAAGATGCTGAGATACAATATTTGGAAGATTACTGTCAAATATTGAAGCCGTTGGCTACAGCTCTCGATATACTGCAGGGTGAAATAAACACTTATTATGGCTACTTACTTCCGACTCTGATATCTCTTGCAAACCAATGGGAAAAGATGAAAGCCGTGTTTCAGGACCCAAGACATTTCAGTGCAAACTTGATTTTAAATGCATGCTCCCAAGCATTACGAACGAGGTTCTCCGCCATGTTTGAGTTGTCCTAAATTTAAGCTTCGCTGGTTCACTGCACTGAAAAATCAAAATCAATCCAGTATCACAGCGGATTCTCTGAAGCAAATAGTCATTTCATCAACAGAACAGCTGATGGAAGTACTGGATTCTGGAAACTTTGATGGAGGTGACAGCGACACTTAGGATCAGGATTTGGAGTATGATGGGTATTTCGATTTCAGTGAACCTAACGATGTACCTGGACCTAAGGCTTCGTCTTTGTCATCTCAGATCCAAACCCAAAGATCAAGAGAATCCCAAAAACAGGATAAAAAAAGTCTAAAATTGAACTCGAAGTTCTGCATTATCTCGAGGACAAGAGGACCAATCTCTCCATATTGGACGACTACCCGCATGTGAAAAAACTTTTCACGCGTTATAATACGTGTCTGCCATCATCGGCTGCAGTGGAGCGTTTATTTTCGTACGCGACCATAATTAACAATCCACGTCGTCATGCTTTAACTGACGAAAACTTTTAAAAATTGGTCAAATAGGATTGTAAAAAAACGTGTTTTATTTTAGGTATACCTAAATAAGATATACCTATAGTCAATAGGCTATAGAAATAAGGTAACAATATTCCTTTAAAAGATAATTAAAAAATAAAGTTAAGGCAAAGCAAAACGAGATACAAGCCGGCCTTGGTTGATAATTAACATAAAGTTAAATATCAATATTTTATGAAGGCATTAGGCCGGCTAGTATTTAGTTTTGTATTCGTTTTTTAATCGCCCCATTTCTCTAGCATTTCTCCCAACATTTCATAACTAAAGTGTACTCGGTACTTTGTACTCGTATGGGTACTTGAGTACAACGGTACTGTACTTGTACTTGGTACTCGAGTACTTTTATATAAGAGTACTTGTATTCAGTACTCGAGTACTTTTTCATTGTACTCGGAACAGCTCTGGCTGCAGGGGTATAGTTTTCTAGTCTACGTTTTGTTTGTTATTGTCATTGTCCTTGTGCTGGTCAGATTGTTCCTGCACTTGGAAAAGTGTGTCAGTTGTTTTATGTATCGCCGACGGTGGTCGAGTGGTTAGTGCATGCTGACTACAAGCCGGAGGTCGTGGGTTCGAATCCCACCAGGGGTATGGCTGTTTATTTGTATTTGTCCTATTGTGTATTAGTCCTTCGGAGGGGACTTTAAGCCCGCGGTCCGTTCCTACCCCTAACCCGCACAAGCCATTCAGTTGGCTTATGGGACTTCTTAAGAAGTAAGGGTGGAACTAAAAGAGCACTTTTGTATATATAAACTTTTGTATATTTAAATAAATTACTTTGGAATTTTAGTCTTGGACGTATGGTCTAAATGTCTCTAAGTTTGTCCTAGTCTGTGTCCCCAGGCAGTTTACGTCGTGTTTTTCAAACAATTATAATGTTAATTCCCCCTTTTTTGTTTAAATATTATGGTAAATTTGTCATTAATTCTTTGCGTGTACTTAAAATGTATTTTGTCCTGCGTTTTATTCCGTTTCGTTGGTTGGTGCTTTAAATGTACCTCCTGTGGTATATTTATCTTTTTATGTTTGGATTGGTTTTATTGATTTTATTTTATTATTTTATTGAGATTTATTAGGTTGGCGTTTATTTATGTTTAGTCGAGTTTGTTTAGGATATATCTTAATGTCTATGTTATAGATTGATTTATGGGTTGATGTCAACTAATTTTTTTTTCAGTATTTTTTAGTCATGCAATTAGATAAATTACTTATCCGAATTAATGTCTTGATGTTCTGCAGAATTTAGACTGTCGCGCGGCCTGCCGCGGCACGCCGTTCTTTGATCTTGACCGCTTCCACTCGCAATTGGCACGTGTTGTATGTGTTGATAACCAGGTAAATTTCCGTTGTGACTTATCTCGCACATTTTTTACGCCCGTAGCTCACTATGTAACTTTAAGCCGGAAAAACACGCACTTTTCACTCTTTTTTTTTATTTCTTAATTTATTAATTAATTCTTTTTATTGTTTATTAATATATTTATTTTTTATTGATTTTCTTTTGCACTTGTTTTCGATTGACTTAAACACTTTCACCGTTGTGACCCGAACGCGCCTGAAGAGCGCTGATTTACTACAACTTCATGCCTCTACGTGTAGAACGAGAAAATCATATTATAAAATTTATTCCAATTATATAAAAAGTAGACATTTTCCAGAGGACAGTTCTTGTTGTTATACAAATGTTTTTTAAAATGATACGATTACAAGGCATCACGCATTACCTTTAGATTAGGGCACATGGATGATTCTTCCAAATCAACTACTTTATTTTTTACAGACTTTTTAGCCATGTTTTCTTTTGCATCCATTTTATCATCACAGGTGTTGTAGGGAAATACTCTATGTAAAAAGCTAGAAATTGTGTCAATCCTTTGAATGGAATGCTATTTTTGTTCTTTCTATTGGGGTATTTTGAAAAACCACAACAATCTTCAGCCTAACAAAGATCATCATCAATAAAGTTGCTTCCTCTTCTTCTTCTTCTTATTTATATGCACACCTTTCCAACCCGTGAACGTTATTTGATACAAAATTTGATTCTTTAACTTAGAGTTTAGAGATTCAAAAGCAAATATAAATCTTATAAACTTGTGCACAACTTTCTTGGTTTCAGTGTTAAAAATTGCAATTTCCTTTGCCCAGAACGGTAAACCATGTTTATTGTCTTCAAATCCTTGGATATCTACTAAAAGCATGGTGCTAGTATTTGTATGGTTATTCGTTTGAAACTACTTTGTATGTTTTTAAATGCAAGTACACGAATGATTTTGGTAGTTTTATAAATGCTATTTAAACTTTAATATATCAAATAGTAAATTAATTGGTATGTTTATTATTTTCTAAAATTATTTTGGTGTACTTATAAGTAAAAGTGAAAAAGTTAAAAAGAATGTTACAATTAACCAGACTTGGTAATTTTATTTCACTTAAAATATAGATGTTTAAGTTAATTAATCTACGGTTTAAATGCGATTTCCAATGTTAATGGAAAATATGATACCAAAAAACAAAACAATGCTATCATACCAACAATACCATCCACTTTATTTAAAAACTATATCTTGGTTAAGGGTCCAAAAATATACAATATACTAAAAACGAATTAAAAAATATACGAACTTTTAATCTATTTTGTAAAAAAGTAAAAAAAAATTATACGTCTGAACAAAAATTTTATAGAAAGTGTCCTATCGTAACCAAAAAACAGTTACAATATAATAGTTCAATTGTGCCTTTACCTAAATTTTATTGTTGTCAATTAATCAATTTACGTTCTTATTTTAGTTATTTTTTTTTACAGATTAATGGAGCTATATAATTTCAAATAATAAAACAATTTAAGCACAACACGATTTCTTACTAAATCAGGTGAACATATAAAATTTAAACAAATTATGTACTTAAATCTTTCAGTAAAATTTTGCTCAATAAAATTCTATTATTCTATTCCAATGACATTTATCGGAAAAGAAATATGCAATTAAAAGTAGTGCATTTTAAAAACAAAATGGAAAAATGCAGAAACTGTCGTAGGTTTTGTTGATACTCTAATCATTTTTCATGATCATTTATTTTTTCATTTAGCGAAATGAATAAGTTTATTAAAATTTATGTTGGCATCATGTTTTTTTTCACAACGCCATCTAACATTATCTAATGTAAACATATAAAAACAAATATCGCTATCTATATTTTACCAACGTTAGTTATGCTTTTTATCGATAGGGAACTTTTTATTTAGTTTTGATTTATTTACCTTATCTAAAACAATGCCATCTATCATTATCTGGTAAAAACATATAAAAACAAATATCGTTATTCATATTTTAGCAACGTTAGTTGCACTATTTATTCATAGGGGGCCTAGTGACTTTTATTTCTTTAAGTTTTATTTACCTTATCTAAAAACCAGATCCACGGATCGAGAGGTCCGTGGCTCAGTTCTTGACAGGGCTTTTTTTGTTTTTCAGGAAAATAAAAGAAAGTATTAAGGTACCCATCCAACATCAATACACAATTTTATGTGAAGGCTCGGTGGTCCAATTGTTAAGGCAGTTGGCTTCGAACCAGACCTATGAGGGTTCAATTCCCAGTTCAGCTTTTTGTTTTCTGAAAAATAAAAAGAGATAACTTCATTGGATTGTTATTAGCATTTGGAAAGTAGATTTTTCTTAAATGACAAAATATAACTTTATTGGAAAGTCGATTTCCCCTTAATGACATTTTCTAATCACCTAATTATGTGACTTAAAATGTCGTAAAATACTCATTAATGGGTATTTAATTACTTTTTAATTTGGTCTATCACCTATTCTGCTCGCGTGATTGATTGACCCTTAAGACACGGTCCTAATCGTATTTTACAAGATGTGAGTATTTTTGTACAATTTTAATAATAATTTATGTATGGGGAAGTCCACGCCAAATCGGCCAAGAGTAAGACTTCATGTTTCCGATTTACTTCAAATTTTCAGGGTCGATAGAGGAACTGAAGTAATGGAAAAATTTAAAATTTATGCATTTTTGTAGGTTTTACAAAATAAACAAAAAAAATGTCACTTCTCGTATTTTTCGATTATTTAAAAACCAGAAAGACGAAAAATTTCAAAAAAAAATCATATAAACATATTTTTTGGCGCTCTTTAAGAAAAAATAAAAATAAAAAAATTTTCACTAGTAATACCACTAGAGGTCAAATTATTTCCGGAAATTTTTTCGAGCTCATGAATATTTTGAAAATTATCCCGAGTCGAAGACGAGGGATAATTTTCTAAAAATATTCATGAGGGAGAAAAAATTCCCGGATTTAATTTGACCTCGTGTGGTATTCGGTAAGAAAATTCCACACCAAATTGTGTTTAAATAATTAAAATTTATTTTTTGATTTAACTTGACCTCGACTTGATTATTTAGTTACCATGGCAACTAAGTCAACCCCAACCTAAAAGTTATTTCAGTTTTGAAGCTGTCAAGCGGCACGACGTAAAAAAATGTGAAATTGTCTGCTGTAATGATCAATCATCGTGCAATGACTTATTTACCCGCATTATTAGAGGATTGTGGCTCCTACTTAAAGAAAAAAAATTTGTTTTGAATTGTTCACGAATATTTGCATCTTAACTATTCAAAACTCAAAGTGCTAAATGGAAAAAAAGGTGAATAGAATAGTGTCTAAATATTATATATATTTCATTAGACATAGACATTTAATTTATTTCAAGTCCTGCATTTTCGCCATTAAGAAGAAAGGAGGTGTCCAACGAATATAGAAAACATCTAAACTTTGTAATGGAAATGTATCAAAATTATCATGTAAACAAATAAAAACCAGATTGTCAAAA